TAATTCCCGTCGTGCGGTCATCATCACGTCAAAACCTCTTCACGTGAATAACTTGAACAGAAATGAAAGCTCTGCGAAAGCACTGCGCATTTATACCTGTTCTACGCGATGCTACTGCCATCTGAAAATTTGCATATTGCTATCCCATGACTTTTGTCACTTCAGTGTATATATATATATGTGTGTGTGTGTGTGTGTATAATAAATTTATTAGATATATCTAATAAAAAATTTAATATTTGTAGCAATGTGTGTTAATGCGTGAGGGATTATAAAAAAATTACTTAAAATGTCTAACAAAAAAAGGAATTGAAAATATGAATTGTTTTAATTGGATTCTATTTCGAAATTTTTTATTTGGTTTTGTTTAATAACAATGGATCGGTTTTTTTTCCGAAATCATTTTTTATATATATATATATATATATATATATGTATATGTGTGTGTAATTTTCTAATATCTGAACAGTTATGTTTATCTGATAAACTGCCAAAAGAAAATTTTTTCATAAATTGTCATATTTTTTTGTCATTAGATTTAACAGCTCATCAGCAAAAAATATTACTTAGTTTAATATAAATAAATTTAAATTAATATAATAATATAATTTTGCATTTTTTGTACAGAATATTAAAAAAAACTTTTATTATGTAATAATTTTTTACTCAAGAGGAGAGTAAATAATTTTTCTAATTATTGATCAAGTTTTACGTAAGTCTCAAATAATATTCAAATAATAAGTCTCAAATAATATTCTTTATTCTCAAAAAAGAAAAAAAAAACACATTCATTAAGTACAAATTAAGTAATAAAAACAATTTCAATAAGTAATATAAATAAATGGTAATAAATGGAAAATATTTGTAAGAAAAAAAAATACGCCCGAACAGGGACTCGAACCCTGGACCGTTAGTTTAAAAGCCTAACGCTCTACCGACTGAGCTATCCGGGCTCAACGTTACTGTTGTTTATACGTAAAATTAAAGAAAAAATATTTTATCTATTGATTGCCGAAAATACTGATGCTTTGTTTTTTCCCCCCCTACAACGACTGATTATATCGATTAGATAAATATTGCATCGTATGTTAGCACTAAATGATTCACGATTAACTGTTGATTCATATGTGATTCAAGGTGGTTTAGGTTATAAAACAATAAAAAGTAATAAAAACCGTCTTTAATAATAAAAGTCGTCGTTATTTTTATAACATATAAAAGCCATAAGGTCATGCTAAATCTTCACCAAAAAAAAAAAAAAAAAAAAAAAATATTGACGATGAAGGATTTTTTTTTTAAAAGTAATTAGTGCATCTTTGCGTATGCATAAATATTATATTTTGCAAAAAAAAAATAAATAAATAAAAATAAAAATATCAACTCAAAAATTTAATCTCATTTATATCAAAATGTGTTGTTTTATCTGATAATATTTTTTTTTAATTTAAAACCTTGATACTGATTATAGGAAAATTTATTATTATTTAATAAATAATATTGATTAAGATGAACTGTAAATAACCTTGTTTCTCATACAAATAAAGATTAACTACCAGTTTTAATCTACGTGTTACAAAAGACTTCATATCGATCTAAATAATCTCTTTTTTTATAAAAATAAATTTCTTAAACTTAAAAAAATAATTTCTAAGAGTTTATCATATTTATAAAAGTAAAATATTCGTGAAAGCCAAATTTTGATGATTTGGTTTGCCACTCTACAGTCATCTTGTGCACACGAGGGATAACCAGACCGGGGCCTACAGTTTAAAGTGGATTCCGAACCCCTCACAAACATCCATGCCATCGCCAGGATTATAATCTGAAAACTCTGATACCAAAGGCTAGAGCTCTAGCCACTTGGTCATCAGGCTGAGACAATATCATGAGAAAAAGAACCAAGGTAATGCCAGGCAGTTCGCCACTTATACTCCTATACTTGCAAAGACTAATTTGCTCCAAAAAAAAATAAATAATAACAATAATTCTTTGCATCTGTTGGGAATTTCATGGTCCTAATCCATTGAGCTGTTGCAACCAGATCAAACTGTCATACCAAACCTATATTGAGATCAGCTAACCCGACTGGATAGAAAAGTACATGAACTTCGTTCAGCACTGTTTAACCGAAAAGGTATTGTCTTCCAACATGACGAAGCCTGGCCTCATGTGATTTTACGAACGAACTCCTTATATTCGCATACTCATATTCGCCATAGTCATACTCACACACTCATTGCACAGTCCCCATACTCATCTGTCCTGTCCTCATCTCACTATCACTTGTTCCTCTCTATGAAATATTTGTCTTAAAGGGGAAAAAAAAAGGGTTCCATGTTGTTCAGAGGGCAGTGGTAGATTTCCTGGCTTCAAAGTTTACGATCTTTTATACATTCGGCCTAAATGACTTTGTTTGTAGAAGGAGGAAGGTCATAGAAAACAGTGGTCCAAATCTCATTTAATTAATCACACTTAGTTTAAATATAAGAAGGTAAAAAGTTCATTAAAAAAAAAAAAAAAAAAAAAAAAAACCCCTTGCAGAAACATCAAATAGCATATTTGGTTATGTTACTTGGATCGAAATTAACATTATTCTTTTAAGATATCACATAATGAAAGTATATAATTATAAATATTGTAATTGAGTTAATTAAAAAAATATATTAATGCCTTTTGACTCTTTTAGTAAAAAAACCTTTAATTGAACCTGGATTGATTTTTAAATTTTTTTTTAAAGCTTCTATTCGACGGCATATAAAGTTGGCAATTAGTGCACAGATTGCTGAATATCAATAAGATTACAAAAATATTATATTATTTTAATAAGAAGTTTCTTTCATCAGAGATGTAATGAATGCAAAAATTACAATTTAGAGGATCAAAAAAAAAGATTGATTTTGGAAAAAAAAAAAAAAAAAAAAGGAATACCGCCCGAATAGGGACTCGACCCCTGGATCGATAGGTTAAAAGCCAAATGCTCTATCGACTGAGCTATCCGGGCTCTTTGTTACTCTGTTTTTTAGATAAGCAGCGCCTGCAATTTTTTTTTCTTTTATTTTTTCAAAACGTTTTGTAGTTAAATTAATAGTTAGTTAATAAATTATTTAGTGCTTAAATTTGTAGTATTTTTTTTTTTTGTAGTTAAATTAGATTTATTTTTGCAGAAAAATATACGCTATTATCGATATTCCCTCTTTATTTTGGATCGCATTACCCCATCAAATATTCGGCATGTTCTTCGTTGCATGTGTGGGCCTGAATGGCCGAGTGGCTAGTGCTGTGGCCCTCGGTACCACAGGTTTCGGGTTCGACTCCCGGCGGTGTCATGGATGTGTGTAGTGGTTCGGAATCCACTTTAAACTGTAGGTCCCGGTCTAATAGGATCGTAGAGCGTTGCGGGGGCGTTGTTACTCCGCGTCCGTGGCTTATCATCAAATTACACGCGCCACCTGGGTAATGCAAAATGAGTAACGTCTGTGCAGTGCTTGCCTTAAGGCTTCCAATACGTCCATGTCTAAAGTGCTTGCCAGCTGCATTAGAAAGAAGAAAAAAAAGTTTTGTAACCATTTATTGGAAATGTGCTTCAAAGAAAAATATTTTTAAAATAAAGAAAATTGTAAAGCGACACCATGCTGTCAGTTGTGAAGAATATGAAAATTCTGGAATTTAAGGTCCCCCTTAGGTGTCAATTATGAAGGGATTTTTTTTGCTAAATTTGTTGCTAGATTTTTGATGCCCCTTTCGTCATCAAGAATAATCCACGGTGTATACAATGCTTCATTAAATTATTATTAATGTCATTAAATTTATTTAAAAAATTTTTCTAAATCCAATACTAAAGATTCTTTTTCTTCATCGGCACACCAGTCCTGTGATGAGCCAAGGTTGTCTGCCTACTGGCAGATTTCGAGACAGAATATGTTTTATTTTTAGAAGGTATGGTTGTCAGCCTTATGCCCAGCAGTCATATTAGACTAGGACCTACAGTTTAAGGTAAATTTCGAACCACTACCAGTATCCATGGCATATCTAGAGGTTGAAACCTGTAGCACTGAGCACCAGTACGATATGGCCACCACGCCCTATTACTAAAGATTGTAGTTCATAAAATCATCGAATCAGGGATCGGGATTAAAAATTCAAATCAGAAGTCAGAAATTGCTTGGCAGTCCCTTATGATTGTCATTTATTTAATGGGATGCATTTAAAATTCTTTGAGAAGTAAGGGTAATTTATATCAACAATTGTCATCATACAGATTTTACATTGTTGTATGTAGAAATTTTTTTATCTCACAGTGAGATATTTTTTAAATGGCGTGATTTCTATTACGATTTTCAGTTGTGTTCGTTAGATAAAAACTCTAAACACCGAAATGAAAGCAAAAGAAAATTCACGAACACACTTCTATTCGGCCAGCTACCATATCCGGGACAGCACCAACCTTTCAGCAGCATAGAAGCTAATCAGGTTCTGATGGTATCGTTTGGAAAATATCTGAAGGAAAAAAAAGAACACACCAACCCTCTCCTCTTAACAAGAAGAGGAAAAGAAAATGATAATTTAATGAAAGTGATTAGGGCCAAAGACATGCCATCCCAGAATGCGTACGGGAGAACAGCCATCTAATAATTCCATCAGAGCAGCAGCGCATGCGCGAAATAATCTGGTTCCACACCCATATCATTGGCGTGTTCATTGTCATGCAAGACCATCCCGTCGGCAAGGGCTGGCCGAACGAGGACTAATAGCTCCTGAGATCGCTAATGGTAGCCGTTTTCTTTGTCTGTTTAAGTAATTGTTATTCCCCTTCCGTCCGCCGGGAGGTGTGAAATGTCGTTTCTTCTGTTTGTCGTTTGCCATCGTGACTGATAGTTCGGAATCGCCTTCTTTCTTTTTTCTTATTGCTTTTGTTTCCGCCAACTTAATGCATCCGGTACCTTCCCTTACGCAACGCCACAAGGACTTCTGTTTGGGATTTCATTACCACCAGGTGGACATTTCACTGGATCTCCGCCTTTAAGTGGACACGAAGGCAAGAAGGGTATAAATTTCGAATGCCACAACTGTATACACAGAAACAATCTCTTTTGATGGATGTCCCCGTCATGCAGGGCCGACATATTGAAATTCGCGATTCAAGGACAGATTTGTTTCCTTTTTTTGAATTCATGCATTACTTAGATCTTTTCAATTCATCTTCATGACAATAGTATTTATTACTAACGTGTTCTCCACCTACGTTAAGTTACTCGAATATATGTATATATATATATATAAAATAAAGGTTTTTTATTTGGAGGAGGAGAGTGAGATGGACTTGATTTCTGAATTCAAATTTGGTTTGGTTTGGTTTGATCTGTCGCTCTACGATCATCTTGTGCACAGACTAGTGCACAGCTAAACAGACCGGGAACTACAGTTTAACTAAATTCAAGTAGTTCAGTTCAAAATCCCAAGTTCAGCAGACAGTTCCAGCGCCGAACTCGTGGCAACATGTATAGCTAGCGTGCAGGAGAGCTAAGGTTCTTTGAGTCCGTTGGATGCATTCTTGTAGCCTTTGCTTTCAGAAAAGAAGAGACTCGACGGCGATTGTGACAAGCTGGGTAAAAAAACCGTCTCAGTTTCTGGGTCAAAGTGTCTGGTGTGTTCTTCGGGTTTTCTCTCATACGATAAACAGATGTGCAAATCTTCTAATGCGGCACTCAAATTACCCTTAAAAGTCCTCCTGTAAGGCACTATTCTGATCCCATATCTCGCTGGTGGGCTATTCGCTGTATGCATGAGGGCCACCTTCACCTTTCTAATTGGTAGTGTGATACATAGCCCTAGCTACAGAGGGTGAGGTGTAGAGAAAGAAAAGTACAATTTCGGTATTTGTTGTGGATATTAGTTCATTAAAACTGTTGGCCGAAAGATTCTTCTGTAAAGGGTCGGGTGGAAAATATGAGGAGCAAATTCCTCAGATTAGCTTTTAAGGGTATTGGAAAATGTGGTGAAAATTGTAGTGAAACCCAATGATGATTCACTAAAGTTGAACTCCCTTTAGGAAGTGATCAATAAGCTTTGAAAAGAAGCTTAACTACAGCGTTGAAAAAAAAGAAAAATATTTAAATTGATTTCGAAATGAAACCTTTATTGACAGTATCAATTATCTTTATTGACAGAAATCTTGTTTTCAACTTATGACTGACATACATATAAAAAAAAAGAGTCATGACACTTTTGACTACGTTCTTTAATGCATAATCATTCCACTGGGACAGGGGAAGGGGGGAAATCAATTTTTTTTTCCCTGTTGCAATAAAGCCTTTTCAATCAATTTTCGGAAACATGCGTGGTGCCAATTACAGGCTTTAAACATATGACAGAAGGCTAAAATTTTTGTATAAATAGTAATTCGACATAAATAATAACTATTATATATAAAAAAGAAAAAAAAATTTCTCATGTGACGTATCCGTGGCAAACTTTCATTAAATAAACATTTTGATTAGATTCCGTATTCTGATGCAACTCTTGATTAATTAGTGACAAATTTCACATAAATGCCATTTATACACAGAACTTATTTATTTTGATTTGTATTTTTGAAAACCATTATGAAAATTATTCACCATTATAAAAATCTGTAATCTTTTTTTTTTTTTTCCAGTCTGATATTAACATTTTTTTCCGGGATAATATTATTTATTCTTTAAATTGTAAGTTTAATATTATTTATTATTCTTCTTTTGAGTGTTGAGACTGGCTTGTTCAAACTGACTTATATAGTAAATTCATCAAGTCACAGACTTGATATATAAATTTATTTGTTTGAAAAGGAAAGTTCTATCTTAATATTGGAAATCTAATTTTACCTTCATGTCAATTATAAATGTTTTACAAGTTTTTATTCAGGGATCTATTCTTCTTTAACCCTTTAACGGGCACAAGCCGTTTTCCTTCAAACTTTACATTTTACGCTATAATTAGAGAAAAGAAGCTCGTTTATGACCAAAAAGAGTATTTTTTTAATTTTGGGGTTGTAACTATTGTTTACAACAGGGGTGGTAACATATTTACCACCGCCCGATACAAGTAATGAAATTTTACTGACTTATTCAATAGAAAAAATATAAAATACTAATAATTACGCAAATAAATACGCATTTTGTAAAACTATTTATTATTAATTATTTCAAAGTTAAAAATATATTATTTGCACATGAAATAAGTGGTAGAAAAATACAAAATACTATGTAAATTATCAAATGTATTGTTTTTAATTATTCTTGTGAAACGACAAAAAACAAGGAGCCGCGCACAATGGAACATTACATGCAGAACATATAACTTTTGTACGTTTCTGGTTAGCTTTGGTGCTACAATGTTTGCACCTTCTGTACGTTTCACCTTTTCCTGGCATGTGTGTTCCAACATTACTTGTTCTGATTTCCTGTGGAATGCCAGTTACCTTTTTCATTGAAACCCAACTTGATTGCAATTTTCGCGTTTTATTGAAAAATCCTCCTATTAATCCACGAGCTATTCTTAATCTAACTTCTAGATGGGAATTTCTAGCTATGTTATGATTATGTACGTACAATATATATGAATTGACTAAGATGGAATCTAATAGAAAGTAAAATAATCTATGCCACCACTTCTTTGATCTTCTACTCGAACTATACGAAGATATCAAGTGGTTAAATCTATCCACTCCCCCCATACTTCTTGCATAATCGGCAATTGCTTTTGGGCATGTAACTTTCTTTTTGCATCCATCTTTCTGGGTTCTACTTACTTCAGTCATTTCATTCATAATATAGGCTGTTGAAAGAAGAGTAACAACCTTCGTATCCCGCCATTGCACTGCGACAGTGTCTCTACATGCCAACATCAGCGATTCATTTTTTTGGTATTTTTTATTTTTCTTCATGAGCTCAGGAAGGAATTTCCTACCAGTTCTGATGGTACCAATGGCATATATGTTTTTTGAAAACAGTGTTTCCATCAATG